CCTGGGAGAAGAGTAAAACTAGAAAAATAGTCTTTCATAAACACAGGATCACAAGTAGATAAAAGTGACTAAGAAGAAACTTCTTTGCTTTTAATGATACTCTCTGGTTTTATTAACTGTATCTAATTTCGGAATCCAAGAAGGTTTGAGTAATACTATTCTCGCAAGAGATAGATTTTTGGAATTTCAGAATCTCAGAATCTTAGAATCTGAGAAGTGTTGAACATCGCTGTTCTATGAATTTGAAGATATTTATCTGCACAAAAGAGAGAAATGGGCCCGGTAATTTAGATTTGTTAAATATATTAAAAATTAATCAGTTTAAGAGCATCCTTTTAAAATCAATCCTGGAAGCGCGTATATATAATGGTGATTAAAACTAAACATCAGTATGTAGTACATATATAATTATCAATTCAACAGCATTCTTTTAAAATCAATCTTAGAGGGCGCATGTATATACACATCTTATATACACATCGGATATATATATAAATTGGGAATAAAAAATGGGAAGATATCCGGAATTAGTTTATATTTTTTTCTACAAGCTATGGCTCCAAGATTATGGCATGAATGTTCTACATGTAATACTGAAAACGATCTAAAAGTTTTTGTTCGAGAAAAAAATATTTGTACACATCGTACTGAAGAACTTAGAAGTGGTGTATCTATAACATATAAATGTTCAGAGTATAGAGAATATCCACAATGTCGTTATCAATTGAAAGCCAAACAGTTAGATGGTAGGTTTTGTATAGTTATAACTATTTTTGAGGGAGAAATAAAAAATAGGTATTTTTTACTCATTTGTTTGTTAGGAAAATTTACAGTTTTTGAATCTGAATTACATGATCATAGTCAAAGACAAGAAAATAATCGTCTTAAATCACCAATTCGTGCTGCTGTGCAAGAAATGACACATACAGGTTTAACACAAGGTCAGATTCGTAAAGCTGTATCAGTATTGCATCCTAATTTATCAATTGATACAAAAATTAAAAACGTGGTACAATATACACGTCAGCAAACCCGTACACAGATTATTTCTGTTGATGATTTACAATTATGGTGTAAGGAAAGAATTAATTGTTCACCAGCTGACCAATTGCATCAGGTTTTTGTACCATTTTATGAAGTAAAAGATATTGATAATATATTTGTGCGTATCACCACTCGTCAACTACTATCAACTACCAAATGTTCTTCAGTGTTGGCTGTCGATTGTACGTACAAAGTGGCATGGAATAATTTACCAATACTCATATTTGGCACATCAGATTATAAACGTCATTTTCATCCAATTGGCTTATGCTTGGTATCATCTGATGAAGCTGCTTCAACATATAAAACATTATTTCAAGGTGTTCCTACATGGGCGTCTAATATTAATCAACAAACATATTTGATATCACATGTGATGGGTGATGGAGCTGCAGGTATTACAAGTACAATGTCAGTTATACCACGAAGTCGTAGATTAATGTGTTGGGCACATATGATTAGAAAATGTCGTGAACATAGAAAATTGATACCAAATGAACAAAAAAGGTTAAATGTTGAAAAAGATATTGTTAATTTACAATTATGTTTTCAAGATAATTTGTTTAGTCAAGCAGCAAGTTTGTTGTTAGGTAAATGGAGTTTAGACAATCAACTAGACAGATTCCGTACATATTTTGAAGGACAATGGATAAATGATTTATCGTTTTGGTATGAAGGAGCGGTTTGTTTAGCACCATCAACAAATAATGGTCTCGAATCATTAAATGGCAAAATTAAACAATCATATACAATGAGAAATAAATTATCGTTGGCCACATTTCTACAGACAGCAGAAAGTATGTTACGTGATTGGTCAACAAAGAGTGCTACAGATGGATTTGCTCATACAATTCATTTTGAAGCTGATTTGGAATCAAAGGCACATCAATGGCCACAGAAGATTGATCAAAGTCAAATTATTCGATTAAGTAATACCGGTTATGTGATACCAACTACAAATTCAACAATGAATACAAATGTATGGCTTCAACAGTATTATACAATGTCATGGAATTCATATGATGAATATATTAGCTGGTTTAATTCAGGGCATTTAGTCGATTTTTCACGTATAACGGCTCCTTGGTACTGTACATGTCGTTTTGGTCAAAAGGAATATTCATGTGTTCATACAATCGGTTTAATGATTATATGGGGTTTTAAAACTGTTCCACAAATAATTGGTCAAAGAAAAGGAAAAGGTAGACCAAAAAAAGTAAAAACAGCTTTAACAAAAGATTAAGAAAAACATTATTATTTTGTATTTATTAAATTGCATGCTATTTTTTGGTTAAATTGATAATGTTATATATGTACTACATACTGATGTTTAGTTTTAATCACCATTATATATACGCGCTTCCAGGATTGATTTTAAAAGGATGCTCTTAAACTGATTAATTTTTAATATATTTAACAAATCTAAATTAGCGGGCCCATTTCTCTCTTTTGTGCAGATAAATATTTTATTTTTTGAACTGGGCTCATTTCCATCATTTTTTGGTTAATTAAAGCAACCGGGATCAATTCTCTCTTTTTTCCGGGCTCAAAACTTGTTTTATCCTCATAACGACACAAGTGTATCAGACGCATTTAATCTATTTCTTTGAAGATAAAGAAATGTATATAGAATATCAGTTATTGCTTTGTCGAAGAAGGTAAAGTCTATTCATTTTCTTATTATTGTCGTGATATTAATTGTGTGGAATTGAAGTGTTATTCATTTATGATAGCATCAACATCTGCTGATATTACCAGATCAGTAACAACATCATCGGTAGAACAAAAGCAAGACAAAAAACTGAACAAAACCATAAACTTAGGAAACATACCAAATAATTTAAATGTGTTAGTATTGGGCAAAAGTCGTTCGACCAGAAGTAGCCATAAAACGTATCATTTGAAGACCAAGGCTGCTGACAGTGATGATGAAGAAGATCTTCCCGGTGATTTTGGAGATGAAACGGCACAATTATTGGTGTATTATGGTAAAAGATATAAAAAAAGTACTTAAAACAAGTGTAAAAATGTATATCTTCTTTGATTTTGTATAAAAGTACAGTTTGACAGATATGTAGTTAGGATGTTGGTCTAGATTGCTTGAAGTTAGGAATACTTAGAAAGAAAGAGTCAGCAGAAGTGTTTTAGAAGCGAGTAGTTGTTGGGTAAGTAGTTGCCAAGGTAGTACTGCACATAGCCTTTTTGTTGATATGCAGCTTTCTTCATATGTTT